CCCCCTTCAGGACGGCAGCTCACTTGCATGCCAGGTAGCAGTGGCTCGAACTGAACCCGATGGCAGGGTTTTAGGTGTTGATATCATTCCAGCTCAGCCACCCAAAGGGGTTTCTACGATCCAGGGCAATTTCCTCAACCCAGAAGTTCAGGATTATGTCCGTAAATTCGTACGTGACCCTAGCAGAGGCAAACCACGTATCAACAGCCCGGGCAGTAATGATCGGCTCGGATTCGACCGAGAGATGCCTATGGGAATTGCACAGGTGTCCACAGAAAACAATTCAAGGGACAAAGCCATTGAACGAACAGTTGATGTGGTCTTAAGCGATATGTCTGCTCCCTGGCACCAAACTACTGGGTTTGGAAAGAGAAGTCTAAGTGATCCCTATAACAGGATGATGAATACGAGCGGTATAAGCTTCAAAGACCACGTTGGCAGTATGGTGTGTGGTGTAGTCCCTCTTTGCCAGTAAGGAAATGCTAAGTTTCATAGGACCTATGCCATGCAGCTTTGCAGTTCAGCCGTGAGGTTCTCCGAACTGGTGGCCATTTTATCTGCAAATATTACCAAGGGGCTGAAGAGAAAGAATTTGAGAGACAGCTTAGAGATCTTTTTCAGAGGGTTCACAGGCACAAGCCCGAGTCTTCGCGTGATGTAAGCTTCTACATTGAGATTGTACTGGGCGTATACAACCCGTCAAACATTGCTAATCCTAGAATAGGAGTCGAAAGAATCATACTTTATTGGTATTAGTCGAAGATAGACCCAGCCTCCAATCTCAAGGCTTAAATAATCTCTGACTACAGATCTGACTGGTCGACGTTCTTGCTTCCGTCAGAATCAGAATCTTCATCCCACTCAATGTCAGCAAGTGATGCTTCCGCGGATGCTTGGACCTGGTTCAGCGTCAGTTTCATAGAGTTCATGTTCATTCTTTTAGTCTGATACAGGCGTGTCTAGTTGTGATGTATGCCTAATGGAATAGGCGAAAGTGTATCGATGGAAACATATAAGATAATAACCTACTTCTTTCAGTCCGCTAAGCTCTTCCAAATAACCAGGCTCATTCAAAGCTCTGTGTATGAAGTTCCAGCCATCCCTCTTAAATGTCTCGACGATGTTGTCTGAACAGGCGCTACAGTATTTGTAGTTCCGACCTACGACCGAGACATTTTCAAAGGTTGACAGAAATCCTCGTATTTGATGCGGCAAAAGGCCCAATGGGTGGTCTCCTTGGTCATGATCCCGTGAATTTTGAGCCGGCGCTGCTGCACCCAGCGGGTGTTGAATAATGGAGATGAGAAGCTCCACCAGCATAGCGGACGCTATGGCGGCCACTCCAGGTCGAGTAACAGTACATTGCTGATCGAGCGTTTGATCTTTGGTGGACTAGCAGATGTTCAGATTTCTAGTCAAAAATCAATCGGTCTAAAACTCACATTCATTGGCGCAACAACATCATTGCAGAAGTAGCAGCCTAGTTGCTCCGAGTCCTGGATTTTTGATTTGACTCCGTGGCGCATCACCACAAAGGAATCGAAACCCAGCGCTGCATTCATAACTATTTTACCTGCAGCCTTGCCCATGACCGTAGGTAGCCATCGGGATTCTCGTGTATCCATCAGGAGAAATACTACGTCATGCTCATCAATTAATCCCCGCAGTGTCTCGAAGTCTGCCCGTGTCTTTTCAACGTCGATGACAGGGTGTCCAACCATCGGCACGGAAAGCACATAGCCTGCGGACTCCACTCCCGGATAAATCTCAGATAGAGCTTGCGAAGCACGAAGTGCCTTTTTGGCCCCTCCTTCGAGACAGTCCATAAAGTTGAAGAGCGGTTGTCTTACTGGATTAGAGAACGAGACGGAACCATTATCAACGAAAGTGATTCGAGAAACGCCCCAGCCCTGTACAGCTTCAGTGACTATGCCAGTGAGGAACGGGAAGGCAAGAAAATTACCATTAAGTTTCGAGCAACGTAACTGCCTAGTGTGCCTGCTCCTAGGAGGAGGCATTTGGTGGCCTTTGTTTTCTCGAGGTTCAAATTAGGGCTAATCCTCCATTTCATGAGTTTGAGGTTGAGGTCAACAGATTGGTCGGCCAATCTTATTGTACCAAGACAATTGTTAGCTTGAGAATGCTATGCTTGCAGGAAGGGGGAACTACTTCTTGGGATCCATATATTCCGTGAGGTCAACCAACCGTCCTGTCAGTCGTCCCGAAGGATTGCGCTCCCATCCTGTGACTTTGGGCATATTAATCAAAGGAACCCCGCGGCTGGCAGCGTTTGATGCCACTGCATCTTTCAGTTCCAGTGTCAGCACGGTACTGCGGCATTGATCACTGCCTGAAGGCACATCACGGTACCTAAGCACCCGAATCTTATTGAGCCCCCATCTCTGTTTGGCAAGGAATAATAGATTTCTGAGCGGCCAGCCTGGCGCGTTGTCGTAGTTAGAGGGATCAGCGAACCCCACAAAGCAATCATCACAGTTTGCTTCTTGGAAAAACCCTTCTTCAAAAGATGAGAGAGGTGCGATCTGCCATTGTTGCCTTTGCATGTCTTCTGTATCCCCGGAACTCCGACTTTCGGACCCTTCCTGACGACCAGCGCGAATTTTAGTGACACACAATCTCCTCGCCAAAAAGAAGCCTCGCTGGCGGCTGTCTACAGCAGAGCCCCATGTCTGAACTGCATCGACAAGAGCCATGGTCTCACTTTTTGACAGAGCGTCTGTGCGTCCGACGGGGCTCCGACCCTGGTAAAGTTCCGCGGCTGACTCAAGTTCATCTGCAGAAACCCATGGAGGATCCGAATGCAAAGCAGGGAATGCAAACCAGTAGTGAAACTTGTATTTCTTCAAATCTGCATAAGATAAAATGACGAAGGAAGAAAGTAGAGCTGGACAAGAGTAAATACTCCCATCGCGTATGGCGTTCAGTACCTTTAGGAACAACCTATTGTTAACGCGACTTGGATATAATGACATAATGACAAATTGAAAACTGACCAGTTCTCCGGATTGTTGAAGCAGACGTGCTCTGTCAGTATTCATATATTCTTCGATGGTGTTGACATTCTTTATTGTTCCCTCGGCGCGGTAGTATCCAGATGGCGTCCTATATAATTAACCAGCCGATGAGTAAACGATCCCACTTAGATGGAACTGAAGATAGAAGCATAGAGGCCAGAAATTATCTCGGACTCACTCATCGTTGGAGAGAGCATTCCCATGTATTTGCATCCGGCATGAGGCGTTCGGAGCGTCCGTAGGCCGAAGCTCATAAAGGCCCAGGACTTGGCGAGCCGAGTCATCAAGCTTGTCATGATTTATCTTTTGAGATGTGAGAGCAGTGTAGAATGGCAGCTCTATATCAGAGGCGAACGGCGCGTAGAGCATTGTCAAATACTTGCTCCGATCATAAGCAGTGCTGTAGATAGCTCAAGCTGGTTAATAAAGGATCCAAAGGATCCAGCTTTGGAGAGGAAGCTGATGTTCACCTTTAGGCGGCTCTGATTAACTAGAAGCTGTCACTAAATATTGCTGCAGTGCATTACATACAGCTTCGTCGGATTCTGAGATTTAGGAAAGAGTCTCGTCATTTGTAGTATGAAGCAAGGTAGTCGGTCCATCCGTCACCTGTTAGCTAAGGTGGGGTTGGTGGGGCTGTAACGGACAGAACCTCGGCGCCCAATTGTTTGTGTCATCTGTACTGTAATGATGATAATCTCGAGTAAATACCGTGGTTCAGGGCCACAAAGAGATGGGTATTTCAAAGGATTGATGAAGTCAGTCGCCTATAGGGTTTAGAAACTGATTTGAAAATGAACTGTTTCTATGTGACACTTGCACGGTGAACTGGTATCGATACACAAAGCTATAGCGATCCTCAAGCAGCATGAACGAAGACTACTTATAATAAATGAGATAATATGATTAGTCTATCTGTTGGCTTCGAACTTGCGAACCAAAAATCCCCTCTCATCTAAATAATTCTTTACATCACTGACTGTGTATTCGCCACGATGAAACTAATAAAAGGACAATCAGCAAATTATAAAGCTAGACACGTGAGTAGGAGCAAGGGATTACATACCATGCCGGCACCCAGAGCCGCATCTGTTGTTGTGTCCTGGAAAACCTCGACAAAGTGTTCAGGATTTCCAGCCCCGCTGGAAGCAATAACCGGTATCTTAATGGCGGATTTGACATCGTTGATCAGCTCCAAGTCGAACCCACTGTTGCTTCCATCTTTGTCAATGCAGTTCAGCAAGATCTCGCCGGCGCCCATTGCTTCAACAGCTTGCGCTAGTTGCCGTACGTCAAGGTCTCGGGCCTCTCTGCCACCTTTGACGGTGCATTGATACCAACAGAAAGACTGTCCAAAACCATTCGGGTATTTTGTCCGAATTGTGTGGTGCGTGGTATCCTCCGGTTGGCTCACGTATACGCGCTTTGGATCAACGCTTACTACCACAGCTTGATTGCCGTAAGCCTTGGATATCGACTCAATGGCTGTCCTTCCATTTAATTTCCCGCCAGCCTGGTGATATTCTTCGGCTGCAAAAACAGCATCCGACCCAATACTCACTTTATCTGCACCTGACTGGAAATACATCGTCGCAACGTCCAGGGCCGATATCTGAGTGCCGTCAGTATCAACAGTGTCTCTGATTCCGCCGCCAATAGTGAGCGGCACAAAGACCGTTTCGGATGTTCTTCTCAGGATCTCTAGCATAGGCGTATCCGCAACCGGACAGTTCCTGAAAGAGGTGATGTTCAGGAATGTTACTTCATCTGCACCCTGTTCATAATACCTTTTGGCCATGTCAACAGGCTTTCCCAGGTTTCGGACTTGGCCGCCCGTGCTGACCCCCTCTTTCTCACGAACATCATACTGATCACCTTTGGTGACAACGAGATCACCAGCATCATTTGCACGTACGTCGAGGCAGGCGATCACCCTACGTGTGAGACCGTCTTTCTTTGCCGAGGAAAGCGAGGGTTCCAAAGAAAACGTCTGCAGTCGATCCCCATCTAGGAAAGCACGGATTGTCCGCAAACCAGCCTGTCCACTTTTCTCCGGGTGGAACTGTGTCGCGAAGATGTTATCCCGCGCTATAGCTCCAACGAATTCTTCATCGCCGTATGTGGCCGTGGCTACTGACCAGCCCTCTTTTTCCAGGAGGCCAGGGGTATAGAGTGCTGCGTAAGAGTGGACATAATAGTACTTGCTGCTAGGGCTCAACCCATAGAAGCTTTGGTTGGCAGTTGAAGTATTCAACGCAGAATTCCATCCGATGTGAGGCACACTTTTTGTATCGGCATTGAACTTCTGCATCCGAGCAGGAATTACCTCCAAACCAGGCACTTCGGAATTTTCCTCGGATCCAATGAAAAGCGCCTGTAACCCGACACAGATGCCCATGAAGGGTTTGCCGGAATCGATGTGTCGTCTAATTGGTTCTAGATAACCGCCCTCAGAAAGTTGGGATAGGCAATGGCCGAAGTGACCAACTCCCGGAAGGATAAGTTTCTATGGCGGTCGCGGTTAATCATATGAACTTGCTCATAAGCATTGGATCAAAAAAGCCCACCTCCACATTCTCCAGATCCTTCGGAGACTTCACCCATTCCACCTCATAGCCAACTTTATTTATGGCATTCACCAGGGAGCGGACATTTCCAGCTACATAGTCGAGCAGGTGAACAGTAGGCATAATTGGTGTGGACTCCAGTAGTCCTTGTGGCAGATGGAGACGGTTGGGGAACAGCGTATAGTCCTAGGTAAAAAAAAAAGTATAAAGACACCGAATGTCAAGAATATGCAAGTTGCACAAGCTTTGTCAACCTAACTTTCAAGGGAGCCCTCGGGGGGCGAAAGGAACTTTAAGAGGGGATATATCTTCTTTACCCCACTAAGTTGGAGGGAGCTGAGTCATTCCAGCTCGCTACAGACCATTTTCTGGGACTTTTTTTTTCCCTCCGGTGCCCACTACCAGGAACCACCGCTCTTTCCCCGGTGCTAGTCACTTAATCTACCAGCCTAATCATAACTGTATGTCAAATCAACGTATTCAACAAGCGGGTAGAACAGCTCTGTGTTCTACTTAAGAGCACACTTTCTTCGAATTACTACATCCCTAATCCTCTTCGATTTACTATCATTAAGCAAATCTACTACGTATGCAGAGTTAGGACTCGGGGTTTCATTCTTATATCTCAAGAATTAACCGGGGCAAATTTAATTGCACTGTTTGATTCCGTACCTTCTGGTATCCTTAGCATTCCTGTTCATCGGTTTATTAAGATATTTGAATTTGAAGGCGGTTGACTTCATGTGGAATACAGAACTCTTCCACGCGCCTTTATTTTCCATCTACATATCGAATGCGTCACAAAGCCCGACCTTATGTATGCACTGAGCTACGTCTACTAGGAAGTGTGATTACACATCAGACATCAAGGCCATCAAGGTGCTGTGGATATCCTGGAAACACATTAAATCCCCGCCATAGCCTACGCAATTCTCCCATAATTGCCGCCTATTGAGCGCGATGCACTTTCACAGTAGAGCTACACTGTAATGTAATCATTCCCCCCCACAATTCATTCAAATTCACAAGTGCTCTCTACAACACAATTAGATGACCGAAATTTGGCAATGCATTCTTATCAGGTGGCTTTCATACAGGGAAGTATGACTTGCTGTACAAAAGATCACGGATCTCGAGAATCGTAGTTCGATTTCACGATGGTGCTCGGTAGTAATTTTATGACTATATTGTAGTACGTGCTCTCCTGCGGTACTAGTTTATGCATTATTGTCAGAGCCTTCCAAATAAATCAGACCATTGCGAGGCTGCCAAAATACTGTTCAGTGATTATATTAGCAGTGGTGAAAGCAGGCCTTACCGGAGAAAATTGCCGGAGCCGAACACCGGCTTCTCTCAGAATTGCGGCGCTCTGGATTTTGTCAATTGGATGACAATCCGAAGATTTGAACATAACATACATCGTTGTCCATATTGTATCCCTGCGAGTAAACAACCTCGGAGATACCCACTTGGGCAATCTTGACCGTGCAGGTCAAGCAAGGGCATCTGACCAGCGCTAGTTGTTAGCATGGAACACAAGCCGTTCGATGCACCAGAGCTTACGTATCACAGTATAATATTGTGCCTTCTCTGATACGTTCTCTCCCGGCTTCTAGTAGTGCGTTCTCTTCCGCATGTAAGCATAGACACGTAGATAAGCCTCGACCTCCTCCTTCTCCACTGTTACATCTTGGACCTGCTTGAAAGTGAGCCTCGGTAAATTCAGGATCTCAGTGGGACATTTTGTCTCACTAAGGGTTCGTACATCCACCTTCATTGCAGTTTGTCAGGTGTCGCGGAGTGCCGTTGTATCCTGTGCTTATTACGCGACGCTCTCGAACAAGCACACACCCAACCCTTCTCTTCATGCAGTTACTTCGCTGTGCAGCTAGTGATGCTAACTCCATGAAATACTGATCCCAGTGTGGGCGTAACCGTTGCTCGTCAGCCAGGTTAATCGCTTTGAGAGCCTTATACAATTCCTGTAGTGATGAAGAGGAGTTAAACAGTCGAACCTGAGCACGATCCGTGAGATAGACACGTCCAATATTCTTGTCATAGAGATGCTTATCGCTCCAGAGAACAAATTTCTCGAGAGGTGGAGGATTTAGCTGCATCTCATGACACCTATAATAGAGCGTCAGATGTTGCAAGCAATACTGCAATTGGACCGATCAGGTAGAGATACACGAGTACTAACCTGTCAACAAGTCTTTTCCAACGAAGACTCACGGGCGCATCGATGCTTACTAGCAGGAAAAAAGGGCGCTGCAGAAAACGATCCAGGATTGCGGACTCCCAAATTTCTGTCGTGACCCAAAGTCCCTGCCACCTTCGGGTTACGAAATCCAAGAGAGATTCCGCATTTTCGAATACAAACTCTGATGAAGGATTACTTTCCTTTCGAGGTGAGAGCTCTGACTGGTAGAGGTATTCAGACTCATCCAATGTTCCAGTTGCCACACCGCTTTTTAGTTCAAGTAGTTGGAAACCTTCCTCCCGGATGAGATACTCGGCGACTGCATGCTTGCCAGAACAGATACCTTTCGCCTAACTATTAGTTTGCACTGATTTTGGGGGGTGGGTAGAAAAAGAGTAGGGGTTTGAGGGGGAAATTCTTGCAGGTCGGTTTTGCTTACCTCCACACAAGCCAATCAACATATCGTTTAGCTTTGCCGGTTGCGCCAGATGTAGGGATTTGATGATGGACGGTTGGATCAATTTAGGGATGCCGAGAAGTAAGGTACGTCTTAAGATGGTGTCTGCTCAATCTATAAGAATGAATGGCAGGGTCTTGAGCAGAATTATTCGTAGGCTAGTTGTGTAGTCCACTTGCTATGTATCATTGAATGAGGTGTCCCGCAAATTGTGATGTGCCCGCCAATCAGCTTCAGCTTGGGTGTATGGTCGCAACTACAGTACTGGTACCTACCTGTAGACAATGCCTGCAGCATACGGAGTCCTACAGTGGTGTATTTCAACATTTTTATGCACGTGTTAGCAATAACCCACTCTACAGCCAATGTACTCAGTATGTGAGATCCAAGTTAAAGAGGAGTACGTGGCGAATCTGGAGCAGAAAATCCTTCTTGTCTTACAGCGATCCTTTCATAAGTGAGAATACGTGCAGTACACATAGTAATGAACAGACATCACCTGGCCTTTCTCACGCCCCATCTTGACAAACAAAGCCCAAAAATCCCATGCTCAATATGACGCTGAGCTTTGTAAGACAGATTTAGAACAATGTGGCTTGTAAGTTCAGCAGGATCTTAGATACCGCATAAAATATGAGCTATGATTTGTTAGATTACTTGGATTACTATATTTATGCTAATCATTAGAGACTCATTACACTGCGTGCCTGTATGCTTGGTGGGTGTACTGTACTGTCCGCCTGAATGCAGTGGATTGTCGACCCGTTGACTAATCATACTAGGTAACTAACTAAATAACTTAGAATAACTAACTACCTTAGGTAGTTAACTAACGAACACTACAAGCTAATCATGTGACTACATTGAAAGAAAGACCATTAGCTATTATCCATCCACCTTTGAATGGTTGCCACCACCTCTCGACCGACCTCGCCATCCACAGACGATCCTTTTGACATCTTGCCAAGCCCATCTCTGCCCTTGTCCCTTTAATATTCAGACCGAAGTACCCTTTGAAATTTGGTTTAATTTGATTCTTCTGTGAATTAGGTCTTCGGCCTGTTCTTTGTGCGCATGCTTCCTTTCGCGACCGGACAGTCACCCAGGAGTCTTGCTGCGCGAGTATATTAGGGTCCTTCTCTCTTCCTCATCCTCTTGTCTATATGCACTCGTGAGCCCATAATTTATCGATCTTCTACAACCCTATCGTTATCGCTCCACGACCGAGGTTATCCTACTAAATCTGTCGTCATTGCAGGTTAGAGGGAAGCTCAATTAGCTCAGGTTTGGACTAGCAAAGCCCTCAAAACCTTTATTCAAATTCTCTCTCGACTTCTTGCAGAATTGCTTGCATCATCCTTGTATTCGTCACAATCGTCAGACTTGTCTGTATACAGTCATTCGTGACCACCCAGCTTAGAAGAGAAGTCCTCATTACATATTCGAGCAACGCCTTCGAGCAAGGGTAGTCCTTCGATCTCTGAACTTGAATGCAAGAGACTGTTTGCAAGTCAATCTGTTATTTGTGATCTGCAAGCCCTCCCGTTCGTTGCTGTTACCAATTGTCTACCTTGTTCTCCCGTGTATCTTTTGTGAAAGTGGCATTCTCCTTTTGATCTAATTACATTGACAACGAAATCATTGGACTTCCAATTGAATAAAATGTCATCATCTGTTCATTTCAAGTTCAAGTCCCAAAAAGAACCCTCCCGGGTAACTTTCGATGGCACCGGTATATCCGTCTTCGAGCTGAAACGAGAGATTATCAATCAAAGTAGGTTGGGGGATGGAACCGATTTTGAGCTCTCTGTCTACAATGAGGATACTGGAGAAGGTTAGTCAGTTTCTACGATCTGTTTCCCAAGAGGCCGACTCTCCACTTTGCTCACGAGCATTCAAATAAGGAGTCGAAATGTAATCGACATTTGCTAACAAAGATCCCGAGCAGAATACGATGACGACACCAACATCATACCGCGATCGACTTCAGTCATAGCTCGGAGGTTGCCAGCATCAAGGCCAGGGAAAGGCGGCGCCGCCCGGTATGTGTCCGGGAAAATGCCAGTCAATGCGCGCAGCACTCCTCGTAATGACCAATTTTCATCAATTCGAACTTCTCTCAATAGCCAACCCGTCAGCAACGGCGTTCTCGAACTCAATAATGCCCAGACTGAAGAGGAAAAGATTAATGCCCTTTTCAATCTGCAGGCGCATCAATGGAAAGAGCAACAGCAAGAAATGGCGAAGTGAGTACAAAATCCCGGTGTTTGCCAGATCTTTTATCATAACAACACAATCTTCTAATATCCTACAGCGCCACACCCGTCCCTTTCGGTCGTGGGAGGGGTAAGATCGTGCCTGGGAATTCCCAAGAGCGTCCTATGCCCCCGGGGTATATCTGTTACCGCTGTCGCGAGAAGGGTGAGTTCTTGCATGTGTCAAGCTCTATGGAGAAGCCTCGCTGACCAAATGTGTAGGACATTTCATACATGAGTGCCCTACGAATAACGACCCCAAATTTGACGGTAAATACAGAGTGAAACGCTCCACCGGAATACCGCGGTCACTTCAAACCAAAGTAGACAAGCCCGAGAACCTCACTATGGATGGCTCGAATGAAGATTCCAGAAATACCGGCGTTATGGTCAACGCTGATGGCGATTTTGTCATTGCGAAACCAGATAAGGCCGCCTGGGAGCTTTACCAAGAAAAAGCCAAAGCTTCTGCTGCCGCCGCCGCCGAAGCTGCTGCGGCAGAACACAGCAAAGAACTTCAAGCACGTGGCCTAGAATGTCCAATAGACAGAAGAATGTTTCTGGAGCCCACCAAAACCCCATGCTGCCAGAAAACATATTGCAACGACTGCATCGCGAACGCATTGATTGAGAGTGACTTCGTTTGTCCTGGATGTGGAACAGAGGGCGTTCTTCTTGATAATCTGTCAGTCGACGATGACGCCATTGCCAGAATTAAAGAATACGAAACCGAGAAGACAGATCAGAAGAAAGAAAAAGAAAAGCAGCCAGTGGAGCAAGAGGCTCAAGCAATCAGTAAAGCATCTGGTTCAGGCCAAATCTCCGTGGCAGCGAAAGAGGTCTCACCTGCCCTAGCCCCGTCAACTGCGCCAACGGCCTCGAAAAAGAGGCCTGCGGATGGTGAGCCTATCAGCACTGCCTCCGAAGGTCTTAGCCCAAGCTCTCTTTCGAAGAAACAGAAAAAGAGTGACTCTCACGGCAAATCTTCTGTCGAGATGCAGGCCTCGCAGGCTAAAGATTCACCCAATGGCTTCCCGCAGCCACCTTTTGCTCAGCAAATGAATTTTGGAGGAATTGGATTCGCGCAAACCCAAGGAATGCCTGCGATACCATTTCCTGCTCCTGGGTTTGCTTCTGAAGGGGCCGGTTTCTTGAATTATATGGGTATTCCTGCGGCCAATGGGTTTCCACCGAACATCAACCAGCCTTGGAACCCGATGAATGGTGCGAGTTTCAACCAACTCCCTGGTGTAATGTATGGTGATCAAATGGGTGGCTATAGCGCAAGTATGTTTGGCAATGCGGCAGACTCGAATTTTAGCATGTTTCCTATGTCACAGATGAATGGGCCAGTCCAGCCAAGTACCGACTTCTCGCAGGGCTTAGAAATTGGCCAATTCTCAAACCAGCAGCGAACCGCTTTTAGTACTCCTTTTGCCAGAGAAGAAGACACTGCATATTTTCGTCAGCCTGTTAACCCGCAACGACACCAGGCAAGACATCGAAGGACGAGACCGAGCGATTACCGGGAACTCTGAGAATATACTCTGGTGTTGGAGATAGCTCTGTGAAAACCCTGCCTTCAGCGCTGACATCCTCGTATCTCTTTCAGACTCCGATCCCTTGCTTAGATCACAACTTCACGGGATTTTTTTGTTCTACCATTCTTTCTAATTATCACGGTGCATGATATGTGTACTATTAACCAGCATCAATCCAGTTAATCTTTTGCGTATATGGATGAACTTCCCTTGTCAATCAATCCCTTTATGCCGGCCTTATGGATGCTCTTATACCCATCTTGGCGATGACCAGACTTGTGACCCCTAAACTATGTAATAGAGTATTGAGTATAAACACCCTGCGATCCGGAGTAGAAGTCCGTGTATGTCTCCCTCTTACCGATACCTATCGCCGGGAGATCGGCAGAGTGGGGTTTGATATCCCATCAGCCCCGAGGTCATATGATACGAGTATGAGTACGTACTTCCGCGCGTATCAGAGTGGACGGATCCACCCGCAGCCCCCTTCTGTGATCTGTCACTTCTCCAACCCGTTAGGCTGTTGATTACAAAAACCTGCCACCTAACATCGTCATCCTATCGAGTTGCAACACCTCTCCCAAAGATCTTCACTCTTGTTATTCCTTTCGACGGTCCACTGTCATCGAAGAATCCGGTGACTCAAGAAGTCTTTTACTAAGCCTACAACATTCATAACCCCTCCTAAGCGTACAATCAGTCCCTAGTTTCTCTCTCTCCTTCAAGTTCCCACTATGGCCAAATCATCAAACGATATCAGTAGTAGTGGTAGTCAGCTGCAACGGTGCTCTGAGAGAACCCGTCGGGTCAGCGTTCTTGCAAGCTGTTACAGTGTGAATACTATCACCTCCGCAGTTACTGGGTTCCACTACTGCACTACTATGGGCACCGGTAAGATACTCTTTCCCAAGGAAGGTGCCTGCTCCATCCACAGATGCTAATGCAGCACGGTACGCAGGAGCACAGTGGTATCCCTGAGGTCCCCTCAGGGTTTAAGCCGCCTTCACGTCCTCCCCTTGACTTGTCCATCATTCCCGGCATGGGAATCAGCTGGCCAGGGAACAACTTATTGGAGCATAAAGGGGAGGCAACGCATGCTATTCCGGAAGAGTGTGAGAGGCTCTTCTGCGAGCACCTGTCTGTAATATTCCTTGGTGAGAGGAGATTTACTGCGCAGGAGCCGCCTGGGATGGGTGCGTATCAAAGCCAGCCAGAAATTGTCGAGGGCATGCACACGCCGATCCAGCACTGGCTCGAAGTTCTGGATTACACAAATGACGTTACTTATCGAGGGTTTGTGACTATCACGAGTGATGGCCAACCAACCATATTCGTGTTTTTCTCTGACCAAACTTTGGGCCACGGCCTCAAGACTGGGTATGTGATCTCAAATCTGGTCGGGCCTTCATAAACCAGCACATTCATCATTCGTGCTTACTAATCTTGACCTCATCTAGTTTGGTGGCATTATTCGAGCTTGCAAGTATTAGTGCATTCCAATGCTTGCAAATTGTTGCTTGTATCCCGCGTTCGCACAATGCGGTCGAGCTCGAAATCGTAAGGAACCTTGGGTGGTGTGGTTTTAATCTAACTACCCTGCAACAATGGAGTGTTGAAAATGACCTCAATCATACATTGAGCGACAAGTGGCTCTTCTTAAGCGCCGAGGTATAATCAAAGGGACATGTCCGCTTTCTTTAGAAGTCCGAGTCTTATGATACTATGGCTACTCGTGTAGCGGTGATTTCCTCCGGGCCAGCAACCTATTTGTCTACTTTGCGTCGAGCAACACTCCTAAGGTTCCTGTTTCCTAACATGTCCTAGTCATCTGAAATATCCGGCACCACCTGATGATGCTTGTTGGCCTACTTTTAGAAGCAACTCGAATCATTGTAGGCTCAATTGTACTCCCGGGGCTCTTACGTGCAATGGTGTGTTTGGTGGTTCCAATTGTCGCATATCGGCTCTCCTACGATACATGCCTGTAATGAACCACCCTTATCACGGGAATGGCCGATGTTGCGGGCGCCAAGGGACAAATGGCGGATCACGCGGAGATGACCTCAGGACTACCTATGCTATAGTTAGCATTAGCTATGAGGTAGTCAAATTTCAGAAGATATATTCTTCCAATCACCCACTGGTCCTTTTGAGTGGAGGTTCTCTGATGATACTTCTGTTGACTATACCTGCAATACAGTTGTGGTAAACGCTCCGATGTTTCCCAATTTTCTACTTCGTCCAGGTATCTTGCGCCCCAGGCAGGTTGCAACCCAGGGACCGTCCTCTGGACCAGACCCAATACCTTGTTTAGAGGAGACGAGCAACGACACCAATAAATTCTTGATGGGCCATGTGTCCTGTATCCGTTGCTCTCATTGCGCGGCCGATTTATGCTTGACATCGCAAATTATCAGCAAAGGCTTCACTGGCCGTCATGGCCGCGCGTTGCTTGTGTCTGCACGAATCATTGCCAGTGCGGTTTCTATTAGTCCATCTTCCGCAGCGACAGATTGTCTCCCAAACACCATCGTGCAAAAACCCATACCTCGACGATTAGTGACCGGTGCGCACATGGTAAGCGATCTAAATTGTGCCCTCTGTGGAACTGTACTCGGCTGGAAATATGTCTCCGCAGAGGAGGAATCACAACGCTACAAGGTCGGCAAGTTCATACTAGAGACCGAGAAAATTACAACGTCACCATTCTGGGAGTCTGCACCGAAGGCCAATCTGCTTCTCGATCCTGAAAACTCATGCTCTGAAGAACACCGGGAAAGCTTGTCGGAAGACGTTATAGAGTTCGACAGCCAGGATGAGGATGAATGCGAAGATCTCTTCGCCGCAATCTGGAGTCCTGGTCTGGCTATGCGCCGCAGAAGTCGCAAAATGGAACATTATCTTTCTAGGTTCAGACACAACCCATCATAATCAACCTCATTAACCTCAAAAGATTTACCGACCTGGGAACAAATGTGAATCCAACCAGTTTCCAAGCCAGACAACCCGCAAGAGCGACTGTATCTTGTCAGTCTTCAACTTCGTCCGGGTGTTGCACTTGCCGACCAGCTTTTGCAGTTCTACAGGGCGCAGCGTTTTTCATCACTGGTTGGGCTTTCCACCCAATGAGTACGATTTTATCTTGTATTTTCATGCACAATGTCCTTAATCAACCGGGTATCATAATTCACTATCAACGAGACTTGTCGTCAAATTCACGTTGAGAGCTTGCATTATTGTGAGAGGTGGAGGGCGGAGCCCGTAGATACGGGCGAAATGCACGTGAGTTGAAGGAGTTCACCAGCTATTATATCGTATCCTTGAGGTCGGTCGTTCGGGCTCTTTTTGGTTCGGAGTCTTGGGTCTTATCTCCAACCATACGCCTTTTAGTCGATTCCCCAGTTTGGGGCCGAGAGGCGCTAGTCGGCTTTCGTTTCACAAATGCAGATAAGTCATTTGCATTTTCGGTGACTGCGTCAAGTCGAGCCTTTCGTTCAGAAACAGGTTGTCCTACAATTTGACCCAGGATGCCTCTAAGCATGGTGTCTTCCACATCGCTAGCTTTCAAGGATGAGGCGACAGGGCGTTGGAGGTCGACGAGCTGTCAAATAGATGTGAGGGTCGAGGCTCCCAACAAAAACAGAAATGCAAGGCGGGGGCTTACCCTTTGCTCCATGTCGAAAATAACATCCTTCACATTAGCTATCTTTCTTTTCATGGCGATGGCCTTATCTTCATCCGGTGAGTCATTCATATCCAATTTCGCTTGTTCCTGGGCCATTCTGACTCGACAGCTTTCAATAGCGTGTTCCATTTGTATAATAGCCTCTTTTCCCATGTCCTCATCGACCTTACCATCTTCAGTTTGGGCATCGTCGTTAGCTTTGCTCACCGATGCGAATTCGAGGGCGAGGGAAAGCTTGTAATGGCATTCGGCAACGGAGGGGTCTTCCATGGGGAACAGCGACTGTCTTAAACTTAAAGCTGTCCTCAAATCTGCCACTGCATCCGCAAACCTTTCAGCTTCGAGTGAGATCTCAGCTTGTAGGTCATACGTATCAGCAAGTCGTTCTTTGAGTTGCTTGAGGCTTGAGGGTGCCTTCGCAGATTTCCCTTTCCCGGCATCCTCCTCCAATGCGTTTAGCTTCTTCTGGTACAGTATACGCGCCAGATCGAGAACCTCATAGGCATTGGCAAAGTCATCCTCCTCCTCTTCGACAAGTGGGGGATCATCTTCGTCTTCAGTATCGGAATCGTCGAAATTCTCGTCGCCTGTAAATTGAAAGTATGGTTTGCTCGTATCATCGGTCGGCTTGGCCTTGACTTCAGATCTTGGTTCTGCAGACTGCGCCTGGACGGTAGCATCTTGAATGACACTCTCTGCTGTCGGTGTTGGATTGTTGGATTGAGAAGGGGGCTCGGTGGCCACCTTTGATCCAAGAACATCGCTCTTACTAACAGCAACGTTATAAAGGGCTTTCCCGTAAGCGAAGAGAAGATCAGCATTGTCGAGTGCTAGTTCGCCATTCAGTTTCGCCTGAAGCTCCGTAGCCTCGGAATAAAGCTCCGCGGCCGCGCTGTAATCTTTGATTGCGTCTTTCGCTGCAGCTTGACTGATAAGATTGTCTAAGGACGCCCGGTCATCACCGTCGCAATCTCCTCGGGGTGGAGCGACACCCAAGTCATTTGTTTCCGCCATGTTAGCTATCTGAAAGGAATTGACTATAGGTATAGATATGATTGCAGCTCTAGTCAGCAGTGCGAAGGGAAAATCATCAGAGACATCGGATGGACAACCCATACAGAACTCAATCGGGATGCAGGATGCGATGAACTGCGCAGGGCGACTCGAGTCACAAGGAGGGCGATAAACCAGTGAGCAAAGGACCGGGAAGGGGAACAATTATAAGTAATCAAGTTGACTAGGGCGACTCGCCTAAGCATATAGTTCAGCGTCAAGTGGTTTATGACTAGTTTTCCGACAAAGAGAAATAAAAGACCTCCCGCGATTACTTATCGCGGGAAGGCGCGTGCGCCGCGCGACAACCTCGCGTCCCGCTCGGGCAAGAGAGCTAGCTATCGGATTCGGTACTGAATTATCTCCACTCGCGACCATTGTGAGGACTCACATAAGACAACAACGAATCAGGGGGTATTCTAGGCATATCACGCTTTTGCTCACGAGGGTCAATCGCGATCACCCTACCGAAAGAACAGGTTGAGTTGTCTCTTGGTCTTATTATTGCAACCGAAAGGCAGTTATCAACACTTCTTTCCCAACGCCAAGATTTATCTCGAGCCTCAAGCATGGATCTGGATCCGGTCCCTTCATCGTCGCCTGGATTTGGCACTCCTGCGCACCCTTTTCGAAAGACCAGACCCAATCACGCTCCTACGCGAACCTCGATCCTTCCCATTCTACTTCCACCCTCTACTCTTCGTCCTGTGGCCTTTCGGACTTTTACGCGGAAGCACAACCTCACGATCTCATCATCTGCTCTCCAAACCTTAGCAAATTTCGTGGGAAGGAACTGTGGCTCGGGATGGCGGGAAGATGGCCTTGCTGAACGTGTGCTGGATGAAGTTGCCAAGAGCTGGAGGAAAGCCGGAGGTGGTGTGATTGTTGATGAAGGTAAAGGGGCCTCATTGAAGGCTATCTTGCAAGTCCTGGAGGGTAATATGACTGGAGGGAGAATGGTCGCGGGGAAGAATACATCGGCACATGAGGCCACCTCAAGCCGAAGTCCAAGCTTGAACAGCAGGGGTTTGATTTCGGAGACTGTTCTTGCAGCAAACACCCTTGAAGGCCGAAAGTCCGAAGAGGCTGACTTGGCTCTACATCCAAGGCAATGGTTGAGGATTATTGAGGCATTTGATATTCCACGCTTAACATATCATGGGGATATGAAGTATTTCGAGATTACTAAATCAAAGCCCTCACTATTTCCGTCGCCGTCTCATAAAACTGCCTTTTTCAGAGACCGCTACAACATCGTTCACCAACGGCTCCTTCGGAACGAGTCATTTCAAACATCAGCAGGGTTGTCTAGTCAGTCGATATCACAGCGAACATCATTAACCGGCTACAAACTGACGCCGGTCGCAAATCTGCTGGGAAGAAGCGGGACTTCCCACCTAATCCTTGGCTTACTCTCAGTGTCACCCACGGGGGAGCTCTCTCTAAGTGACCAAACCGGAAGTATTGTTCTTGATCTGAGTCATGGGCGAATTGTCCCGGAAGATGGTTCTTGGCTTGCCCCTGGCATGTTTGCTCTTGTAGATGGGGTCTACGAAGAGGAAGCACATGTTAAGGGATCTTCACTCGGTGGTAATTCTGGCGTTGGTGGAGCCATCGGAGGGAAATTCATAGGCCTTTCTATTTGTGGGCCTCCATGTGAGCGCCGCGACATCACCTTGGGAACAAGCAACCGACAACGCAATAGTGAAATCAGCTCAAGCGGAGGTCTGGGCTGGGTAGACTTCCTAGGGGTTGGGAGTGAGCGGGCACAAGGCCCACGCATGAGACAAATCCAGTCTCAATATTTAGAGAATGTTCACGACAATGCTGAAGATGGTCGCCGACTCAAGATGGCGATCATGAGTGAGGTCAACCTTGACGACATGGGGACTTTGGATGCCTTGAAAAAGGTTTTTGGCTACTACAGCAGCCTTAATGTGGTCGAACTTCCGGTAGCATTCGTCCTTATCGGAAATTTTGTGCAAAAAGCAATAATCAACAGCAGTGGTCAGGCAGGCAGTATCGAGTACAAAGAATACTTTGATGCATTATCCTTGACACTCTCTGAGTTCCCCCTGCTGCTACAGCATTCGACCTTCGTTTTCGTCCCAGGTGACAATGATCCATGGTCGTCAGCTTTTTCAGCTGGTGCTGCTTCCACAGTACCGCGCCATGCTATTCCCGAGTTGTTCACTACCAGGGTGAGACGTGCGTTTGCCGCAGCAAATTCACATGTGGATCGCTCCAAGACGTCTGAGCCGCCTGGCGAAGCAGTATGGACTTCTAATCCTGCGCGTTTGACACTGTTCGGACCTCTCCATGACATCGCCATATTTCGAGATGACATATCGAGTAGGCTTCGACGCAGCGCAATCAAGGTCGGCCCAGGCGACATGACTGACACCAATGGGAACAGTGGCTTGAAAGTCGAAGATCAGCCAGCTCCTCAAGCTCAATACACGTCTACTGATGCCAATGCAATGCCTTCTGCAACTTCGATTGCTCGAAAGCTTGTGAAGACCATCCTAGATCAAGGAAACCTGTCGCCTTTCCCACTCTCTCTGCGACCCGTTCTCTGGGACTATGCGTCTTCACTTCAGCTATATCCACTGCCAACCGCGCTGATCTTGGCTGACTCAGAATCTGTTCCATTTTGCATGACGTACGAAGGCTGCCATGTCATGAACCCAGGAAGGGTTGTTTCAGGAAGTGGTCTTACTTGCGTTCAATGGATAGAATATGACGCTCTCAAAAATCGGGGACGGGTTAGAGAAGAGCGTTACTAGTCATCTTTTCGCTAGAGCACAAATGCGACACCTGAGCGACTTATAAATCTGGGAATGATACTCTAGCCACCGAATTACTATTAGTCCGGTTAGGATGTCACCAGGCAATAGAATTTTCCCGAGACCAATGAGACAGGAGAACATTCCTTGTCGGATAAGGCAATGACGCGATGTGGGCTCACCTTCACTTCCATTTATCACATCATCCTTGGAGACCAATGTTGAATTCTGCTGAAGTCTCACGCTGTAGCATACTCATCGGACTTAACCCGCATTGGAAGCATAAACCTGGGGTTAAGTACCACAAAATTCCAAGAGGAATGTGGAAGCGAATAAGCAAGATACAGCGATACAGCATACGAGATTCACAAATAGAAGCACAATCCATAAAGGTACTTCGAGGCATTTATATATGAAGTGGACTGATAAAGATATGGACATGTGCAAATATGGGTTCCATTTCAGAAGCCTCTATTCTAGTCGATCATGATGAAATCTGCAGTGTTTGAAGCAACACTGGCAGAGTGTTGAGTTGTCCTTTCCTGCAAATGAGCGGGACGTGATGAATCCTGGCGTACTGGTTTCGTTGCCACTCCCGAGGCAACCGCTCTGAGCGCCGTAGCTTGCGTGGGCGTGATGGTCGATAATTCCCTGGTACCAGCTTTATTCAAAGAAGGATTGGGAACGGAGGCAGCAATGCATCTGTGAAGTTCCCCCAAAAGATTCCCAACCCGGTCAACTTGTGCAATTACACCATTTCCAAGCCCTCTCCAGCCATCGCCTTTGGAATCATACAGAGACTGCTGTAC